AGGTCAGATGAGGCTTGATGTCTCCAGGTCGCTACTTTCCTCCTCTACATTTGAATAGTTGATGTTTCTATTTTATAAAAATGCTCATCAAATAATATTTATTCTTTGTAAAGTCATGTAGTTTTTACTAAAATTTATAAAGCAATTAAACATGTTTAAATAAGAAAGTACTTTCTTGGAGTTGTCAGTTTATCAGAAGTCATATGTCATTACACAAGTATTAGAAAATAGTGGACCAAAAGCTGCCCAGTGACTGGGCCATTGTAACGGTAAATAAAACTGCAGAAAAGAAGGTTATTTATTATTTTATGCCTTTTTTGTGGGCTCCAGTTTTGATTCTGACGTTATAACTGATAGAGCCAAAATCCTGTAAAATTTCATTACCATTTTCTTTTACACACTACAGTCACTCAGTAAAATTTTACTTATGTCATGCTTTTATTTCTGTAACTGGAATAATTATTCATATTTTGGGGTAATTTTGAAAAGATCCTTTTAAACGGTGACTTAATGATCAACCAAACTTCAGCAAATTGTCTTTAGATTTAAGATTGATATTTATAATCAATATCATGTTGAAGGTGAGTATATTGTTATCAATTTGAATATAATTTTTCATATTTTGTTCACATTTTCTTATTTTTAAGCTCCTATGTATTAATAATATTTAATAAATTGAATTCAATTTTTACACATAAATATTGAGCATTTTATTCACACATTTAGCAAATATTTGCTTCATACCAACAAATCCAGGCACGTAGGATAATTGAATGAATGAAACAGAAGGGAGTAGACAAACCAAAAGTTAAATGATAAACACACTGTATATTTTGCTCAATGGTGATATGTGCTGTGGAAAATATTCATTTTTTAAAATGTGGAAGGCAGAAATTGGTGTAATGGGTACAATTGTAAATAGATGGTTCAACCTCTTACTCACTAAAATGTGGCATTTGAAGCAGAACATAGAGGAATGTAGACAGTTAACTTGGTGGCTATCTGGGGAAAGATCATTCCAAAGAAAGTGGTAAGTTATTCCAATGAGAAAATGCTTAGCAGTTTTGGGGAAAAAAAGCAAGGAGCCTAAAATAATAGAATTGCAATGAGTTAAGTAAATTGATGAGAATGGAATCAAAGAGATGCGTGAAGCTGATCTGATCGGCCTTAGAGGCCTGACTCTGATAGGTCTTGTGA